TATATGACGTACAGAGGATCTACAGGTGGTACGTCATATATTTTGCCCCTACAGGTGGTACGTCATATATATATATTTTTTGCTTCTGGAGTGCAGAGGATCTACAGGTGGTACGTCATATATTTTGCCCCTAAAGTAGATATTGCTTCTGGTGGTACGTCATGTATATATATATATATATATTATATGGGAAAAATCATCCTACCACTCGGTGGTAGTTACCCCACATATCTCATATACTACCATGTGGTACTATATATATTATTTTATTATTTTAAATATGTTCATATACTATATCTAAGATATTTTAAAACAAGTTACATGAAAAAATTGCATATGAGCTCATAGTTTTTGTTATATTTGTGAAATACGTACATATTTGTACGTAAAAAAGAGCTTACTCAAAACATGGTACATACTACCTAAAAATTAGTATATATACTACCTAATCATTGTTATATACTACATACTACACGTACATACTCTCGGTTTCAATAGATACTACATACAACATACAAAACGCAAGTGGTGGTAACTACCACTGCTTGTAGGAAACATTTGTCCTATATTATATATTATATATTTTATTTATTATTTTATTTTATATAATAAAGCAGATATTGCTTCTGGTGGTACGTCATATATTTTGCCCCTATAAAGTTACTAAATATTACCCACCAATGCCACCTATAAGTAGGAAAAACGATTTAGTTTTCGTTTACAAGTCGCGGCAGTGGTCTCTGGTTTATTTAGTTGGTTGTCTCTAATGCAAAAGAAGGATTCAGGTATTGCGTTGGCTGTAGCGTGGGTCTTCTACCGGGTAGACGCAGGATCGATCCCCTGCCCTCTCAACTTTTTTCACCTTTTGCTGTTTAACCTTTATTTTTTTCCCTTTTTCCTGTTTAATTTTTCTTCCTTCTGACAGATTAAACTGGTCTTCAAAATATTTATCTTTCAAACACTAACTCAAAAATTAACATCTTATATATGAAAAAAAAACTAAGAAAAATGTGTATAAATTTTAAATATACATACGAAAAATCCTTTCGCCGGCCTAATTTTTTACATCCCACGGATTAAAATGGTCTTCAAAATATTTATCTATCAAACACTAACTCAAAATATAACATGTTATATATGAAAAAAAAAACCTGAAAATGTGTATAAATTTTAAATATACATACATACCTGAAAAATCCTTTCGCCGGTCTAATTTTTTACGTCCCACGGATTAAAATGGTCTTCAAAATATTTATCTATCAAACACTAACTCAAAATATAACATGTTATATATGAAAAAAACCCTGAAAATGTGTATAAATTTTAAATATACATACATAGCTGAAAAATCCTTTCGTCGGCCTAATGTTTTACGTCGCATTGGTCCGAGTCAGGCACAGGCGATACACGCGGTTTTTTCGCTCATCTCCCTTTGATATTCCATCTGAATCTGTTGAACGTGGACATAGGACTAGATATACACATGTATAAAAATATCAAAACCAACACGCTTCTTAAAAAATAGGCTCGCCTCAGCAAATTTGTCGCTAGGGCCGCTTGTCGTCGCCTTCAGCGGCAGCCCTAGCATGTGGACGCATGGATCTAGATGCCATGCAACACGTTTTCGATCGGGCACATTAGTACCACTATATTGATCACATCAGCCATTGCTTCCATCAATCAATCATCAATGGTATAAAGGACCCTCGATGATCACATCGTATGCACATATTAGCATAGGGGAGTTGGTCATCTTGTGATTGATTATACCATTTATACGTATATGCACTTCATGGAGAGACCGACACAAGAAGTACTGCTACGGCAACTTTTGATCGCCCTAAACATACTTGTGATTTGGCATTGATTAGTCTACAAGTTTACAACGAGATGGGGAGCTTGCCGATGTTGAGAACCGAGCTGGCTCCACATGCCTCGCTTCCCTCGAGTGGGAGCTCACAGGAGAAGCAGTTGTCTTGATGGGAGGCAGATACGGTCATCCCCGTTGAATCGGTCCCTCACATATCTTCTTTGCTTAGAGCTCAAGCTGATGTACATGCCCTTGCCTGCTGACCAACTGGCTGCAACAACACATGCAGTAACGGATGTCGCAAAAGCTAGGTAGATGCTTTCTACCGACCATACAGTATTTGACACGTACTCCCTCTGTAAATAATTGAAGCACTCTTATATTTCTTTAAAGAGCGAGTACCATTTTTCAAGTTGAATATATTTTTAGGTAACCTATATCTTTCTTACCCTTCACTATCGTTGGTACCAAAATTTTCCATGTGCATGATCCCACCCAAATATATACGATGCAACATCACAGCCTTCTATTGCAGTTATAATGATTACCATCAAGAGATGTGGACACTAGCTTCAAGAGGAGCATTTGGTTATATAACCCAGATACAAGCAAATCAAAATCATTAATTTTGCTGACAAGGAAAGTAAAACAGATCGAGGCTCCAGTTATTAAGATGGCACTCAGAGTAGGCCTTCACATTCACCTCTCCTTTCTAACTGGCATTTGCTCAGTATGATGATGGAAACCACAAGACCGTGTACATAATAAAAGTTGCAAAAGGGCGAAAGGAAACTTCCAAAAGGGCAGGAGGATGAATAGGTTGATGACAATGACGAGATGGAGCAATTGTGATAAGTGGCAAAACATAATCTTATTACCCCGTTGCAACGCACGGGCTCTTTTGCTAGTAAGAATAATTAATAAAGTGGTTGTATGCATCACCCAGATGCAAAGGCTGGGGGTCTT